AATATTCGAATATTAAGATTTACCAGCTGAAAAGAAAAGAAAAAGCTTATTATATTTCAGATATTTCACAAGGTAGATATTCATTATATTTTGACAAAATGCTAGTATTAATGTTTAACCAATGCACTATAGCTGCTTATTTCTTCACAAACCACTTTGTGACTTAATCACGATTGATGTGATGGGTCATGTATTTTGTTAAAAATTATTTGGCCCAAATGTGTTCATTGTTGAATATGGTTAATGTTACAGATGAAGATTTGCTTGCTTCACAGTTTTTTAAATGTTTATGTTTTTAAATGTGCAAATAATTTAGAGGTGGATTTAAAGGTGCATAATGTGTCTGAAAAATTTCCAGGTTCACCGTTTGCCCGTGCCAGTCTGAAAAGCTCAAAACTAGAGGGGTCAACKTTCAAGAGGCGGGAGCGCCGATTTCGCTTCTTTGTCCGACGTGTTGTGAAGTCGCAGGCCTTCTACTGGACTGTCCTGTGTTTGGTGGGCCTCAACACACTGTGTGTGGCTGTAGTGCACTACGACCAGCCTGAACCACTTTCAGATTTTCTATGTGAGTAGGAGGGGGGAACACAAGCTCAATTCGTGCTCAGATTAGCTCCAAATACACGCACACGTTCATCACAGATTACTGGAAGTGAGTGGGTTAGCAAAGTCTTCAGTAATGTCACTAAATCCATAAAAAYGATGACACAAACTCCAACAGAAAAGCATGTTTAAATGCAGCGGCAATGTACTACTGATTTTTAAAGAGCAGAATTTTTCTTTCATAAAAATGTGGACAATTACCACAGCCCATTTTTTGATATTACAATTCTCAGGTCTTTCCCAACTGCTTTCTGACAGTAATACTGTAATAAACAATGCAGAATGTAGCACATCCTAAAGGGGTATAATGGCTATGCTAATTTATTTAAATAAGCAATAAAAATACTAACACTTCTTTGTTTTTCCCTTCTCTTTCCTTGTCTTCTACTCATGCAGTTTATGCTGAATTCATCTTTCTGGGAATTTTCCTAACCGAGATGTTTATAAAACTGTATGGCCTGGGCAGACAGGCCTACCTCAATTCCTCTTTCAACTGCTTTGATTGCATTGTAAGATCCTGCACTGCACAAGCGCACACACCTCATACACAGAAAAATAAATAAACAAAAAAAAAAACCAACACATAATAGAAACATTTTTTGTCCCCAGTACTGATCTGATTTTTTCAAGATTAAATATTGGCTATTACAGAGTCTTAATCTGATGCTTTTGATCTTACGTTACATACGGTGGCTCCAAGAGATTCAACAAGGTTAACAAGGTGTGTTTTCCATCACAGCAATGAGATGGCCAACCAGAGCAATTAATTCAATCACGTGTTCTTTAAATCCTTTTTTTCTTATCGCTGTCCCGTGGAAACCTACTTGCTTAGCCAAGAGTGTCCAATCCTGGTCCTCGAGGGCATGTTTTAGCTGTTTCCCTGCTCCAATACACCTGATTGATTGAATTACCTCCTCAAGTTCTTCAGAAGTCTTCTGAAGTCAACCACTCAAATGAAGTGTGCTGGAGCAGAGAAAACTCTAAAACATATAGTGGCCCTCGAGGACCAGGATTGGACATCACTGGTATAACTAAAATAGTCACATTGAATGTAGCTTTATTGCTGTTACGCCATGATGAGAAATACCAGAAAGGCTAATGTTGCGAGTAGCTACTAAACTGCTTTAATTTATTATTTCAATATACCTTCGTAGTGCAGACATGTTGGCACATTACGTTAGCATAGACATCCCTAATGGTTATGTTAATATGCACTAACATCTGACACTGCTTGTTAATGTGTGCACCTTATTTGGTCGTTATGTTGAATAAACTCATTTTTACACTTCTTTGTATTTTGTACCAGGTGATAAGTGGTAGTATATTTGAAGTGTTGTGGTCCATCATCCAGCCGGGCACGTCGTTTGGCATCAGCGTGCTCCGAGCTCTCAGGTTATTACGAATCTTCAAAGTCACCAAGTGAGTCCCAGAAACACCCGTGTTTCCTGTATTTAAATGTTTTACTCACACGAAGCCAAAATGAACGCACTCTTCTCATTATCTGCTCATCAGGTACTGGGCATCGTTGCGGAACCTTGTCGTCTCTCTGCTCAACTCCATGAAGTCCATTATTAGCTTGCTCTTTCTTCTCTTCCTCTTCATCGTTGTCTTTGCCCTGCTGGGCATGCAGCTCTTCGGAGGACAGTCAGTACTCTTTCCTTGTCTCACCTCTTGACTTAATGGACGTAATTTAATTTCCTTTTCAAGAAACGGGGCTTCAATTAATTGCAAAGTTATAAGTCGATTAGTCGACTTGGAGCTTTTTGCAGTCTACCTCTGTGAGTTTCCTCTTCATACTTGTCTTTTCATTTAATTTCTGCTTCGTGTATTCTTTTTTTCGCTACTAGGTTTAATTTTGAAAACGGCACCCCTCCAACCAATTTCGATACCTTTCCCGCAGCAATAATGACAGTGTTTCAGGTGAGCAGTGGCAATGTTCTGTTAAATAGATGATAGTGAGAGAAGCAAAATGGTTAGAAAAGACCATGTCTGTATTAGGAAATTATCTTTTTCTCAAAGGGCACTTGAAAATAAGGAATTRTGTTTTTGGATTTTTACATGACAAGGATGATTGTGGAAAACATGAAGTAGAGTAATCCATATTGTTTGTACATAGGTGACCTAATTAAATCTGTAAATAATGTGTGAATATGTGCACGTATGTGATAGATCCTGACTGGCGAGGACTGGAACATGGTGATGTACGATGGCATCAAGTCTCAGGGTGGAGTTAACAAAGGAATGGCCTTCTCTGTCTTCTTCATTGTCCTCACACTATTTGGCAACTGTATCCTTTTAAAATGACAAACAAGCAACCACACAAAACCCTTGGATAAGACAACAAAATAGATCACTTTTATTTTWGCCTAACCTGATCACCAATGTACTTACACCACGTTTGTTTTGTAATTTGTCAGAGACCGTATGAATGATGTGCTAGCTGCAGKCTTCTTGTTTCTCATACGGCCATTTTTTTGCCAAGTATTATATAATGAAAGTGCTCTAGCTAATTTTTTATGGACATGCTGTCTGTACTCCTGTAAAAACAGTCTCCTGTAAACTGGATTGCTTTTAACTCCGTGTTCAGACACTCTGCTTAATGTGTTCTTGGCTATCGCAGTGGACAATTTGGCTAACGCACAGGAACTGACCAAGGTAAAKAGTGCAGTTTTTCTCTAACGTGCAAGCAAACTTTCTTGTACCGGTACTTAAAACCTACAAATATCACCCTTTATGAATAGTTATTTTTTTGTTCTATTTCTCTCATTTGACTTTTTTRAGCTTCGTTCATCTCTTGCTTTTGATTCTTTCTTATAATCTCTCTTCACAGGATGAGCAGGAGGAAGAGGAAGCTGCCAGTCAGAAGATCGCCCTGCAGAAAGCCAAGGAGGTGGCTGAAGTCAGCCCGTTGTCCGCTGCCAACCTCTCCATTGCAGCGTGAGTTTTATATCACTGTAGCTGGGATTAATTTTTTTCAAACGTCTGTATCTTGACTGTCAAGCACTTCTACAAGAATGAGGACAATGAGTGTCTTCCATTTGTTTGTACCCCTCTCACATTTTTTATTACTATTTAGATATTTGAAGAAGAAAACTGAAGTGATGTTTTTATAAAAAAAAACAATGTTCTTGTTTTTCCTGTTATTTTGAGGATCATCATTAGATTGGCATTTCCCCATGACATAATCTAGTTTTTGATCTTACATCGTGGGAAACACTGCATAACTGAAACAAACGCAGAAAATGGGGCGGTGGCGGCAGATGTATGTAGCTGTGCAGTATCGCTGCAGGAAAATACATCTCATTCGGCTTTACAGGCATCTGCAGGTCTGTTTTTGACCAAATTTACCTCAGCTTTAGTGTTGCTGTTKCTCTGTATGCTACATAAACAGAAGATCAAAGACGCAAATGACGGACATCATTTTCGAAAAACAACAYCACACAAGCATCCTATAGCATGAATACAAGCATCGACCATAAGTCATCCTAACTTTGGTAAATATCATCTACCTTGCCGGTTGGGCTGGTTTCTCCGGCTTGCTGCTGTTGCGGCGTGTCTCGGTGGAGTGGCGGATGTGGATGGAGTCCCTCGGCCCTCAGATTGTCCCTCGTGTTTGGACGGAGCGCCTGGGGTGGACTTGCCGGCCTGGACGCGTGGCGGTGGGAGCCGGGACGGAGCGACTAATCTAACAAGTGAGGCGTACCAGCTTCCCTGTTGCCTATTTGGATCAATATCAGCCATGCCCTGTTTTTCGGTTGAGGATCAAACTGGAGCTACTGGTTTTGGTGAGCATGCTCGTGTCCGACATGATGGGAACCATGTTATTCAAGCCTTGAAGTGTGCACCATTCAGCGAAGAAAAGAACAGCAAGATACTGACCGGCTTCAGAACCTCACCTGATCGGGTAGTAATTTCGTCCTATGTTACTGTTTTTCATCAGTGGACAAAAGACATTAGTGCTAAAGGCACGGATATAACAGACTCTGTTTTAACCAGTCGGAAACAACATTTAAGACTTCTGTTTAATATTCTTTTAGTCATTGGAAATATTGAACTTAATCCAGGTCCAGATAAAAATGTTTTTATGTCCACTTTTTTATATTTAATGGGATTTTATACATATGTTTTTAATAATTATCTTGACCTGGGTTTGTGCACAGGTGTATCTTATATAAATCCAACTCAATTACAGTCTACACAGGGATCTATATTATATCCTGAAAAGGTTAGACAACCTCCTGTTATGTCAAGTCTGAACACTACATCAGTAAGAAAGCAAAAGCGATTTTCCAATCTAAAAAAAAATCCAGGGATGCTAAATCAAATTAGAGGCTTTAAAATCTGTCATTTAAATATGAGAAGTCTTGTACCTAAACTGGATGAATTCAAAGTAATACTTGCTCAGACACAAGCACGTGTTATGGCTATATCAGAATCATGGCTGACTCCTGTTATACCAAATTCGTTTCTTTCAGTTGAAAATTATTCATTGTATCGTAGAGACCGTACTGATAGGCTTGGAGGTGGTGTTGCAGTTTATGTTCACAAGAAATACTCACATTCTATAATATAATTGTCAACTGAGTCTGAATCTCTGCAATTAGAAATCAAGTTTACAAACCACCTTTCAGTAACGGTTGTTGTTACATATAAACCTCCAAGTGTTAATTCAACTAAATATTTCGCGCAGCTCACTGACATTATAAAAGMCATAAAATCAAAAGAGTTTGTGATTCTTGGTGATATCAATATGAATCGAATCTTTCCTGTTAAATAAATAAATCAAATCAAATCAAACTCATATACTTTGGTACTATACAGTAAAGTGGCAACACTGCAGACCCAATGATTGTTCAGAGGAAATGTTATATGTGGCTGAACGGCACCAGTGCATATCTTAGCATTTTTTCTAATAATTTAACAATGTTGAAATATTAGAAATCATTTTACAGTATTAAACCTCCCATATTGCACAAATCTTGTTTTTATGAAAAATTACATTTGCATGTGGATATTAACCATCAGTACGGAGTCAGAGTTTTTTTTTTTTTTGTTCGTTTGTTTGTTTTTCTTTTTTATTGCTTGTTTGTTTTTTTTATTGCTGAGAATTTCAGTCCTCAGTAATTATGAAAATATTCCCTAAATATTCACCTTTTTGTGCTAAAAGCATGCTGCTCAAAGTGTTTTTAAAAAATATGTGAAAAAATATGTGGCTGTTACCTCTTACTTAGAAAATGCCCAGTATGTCAGACTTCCAATCCATCCCTACCCACTCTCCTGTTCATATCCTCCCACCCCCCATTCAACACGCGCAAATGCGTGCACATCCTGCTCTGGTCCAGCTCTCCTCAGGTCAAAGGAGTCTATGATCTCTTCTCCCGTGTATACACAGGGGTCMATCCTTTTGCTGCTGGTAAAGTTCACACACTCCCAGTCATGCACACACACAGATATACACAAGCTCACGACACAGTATGGTCTGCACAACGGGGGAAATTGCAGTCATCACAGGTACACACAGTCCTGACCTTACAGCTTTGAAAGATCAGGCCCTTGCATCCTCAACATCTCATGTAGAAGCAGAACCAAAACAAATATCTTCATCGTTTCATGAATTGCACTTTATTATTKATGGTTTACACTGTAAACACACTGTGCTGTAAGAATTTATGTTTGTGTAAGTTTATCTCATATGTCAGTCTTATTAAGATTGCAATGTTTTGGCATACTGTCTGTCTTTGTGAGAAAAAAAAGCAGTGTTTATCTGTTTGGGTTTGTTTAGTGTGAGTATGCACTGCATGTGGTCAACTCTGCTATGAGRACGAACAGAAATGTGAATTTGTATAATCATGTCAGGCTTTAAAACCTATAGATTTAGATTTGTGTATTGGTTTAAATTTTACTTAAGTAGAGCTTCTGGGTGCTCTCCTTTCTACTGTTTCAGTGTAAATCCAAATCCCTAATTTGTAAGGATTTAGGAAATCTATTGAAATTTAAGTGGGAAAAGGTCCCTGCCTTTTTTTTCCAAGCAGGGATTTTCAATATGGAGCCACCAGTGATGCATGAAGAATCACTTAAGACGATATTCTGTATTCCCCCTGGAAAGAAGGCTGCCTTTAGAGTTGCACAAAACCCCGCAACAATGAATAAACAATTCTGGAAGAACAAGTTACATACTTAAATTTCAACAAACTCCTTTTAACAAATAGTTTTTGGCTTTGAAGTGGCATATTGTAGATTATTGCTAGTCAGTGTCTTACCTGAAGCAACAAGAAAAAATATGTTTGATGTAGAGTGCTTAAATAGTATTTTCCTCAGCTAATTTCTGTTTTGGCTTCTGAAACAATGCAGTAAATAAATAAAATAGGCAGCTACATATTATAGTGAGGAGCCAGGAGATGAATGAAATACACTTTGCAAAAGTCACTTGTCTGATTACCCATTTGTTTGACTTCATAAAATTTTCTCCTTGATACTCCGAATTCAGATCATTGTAATGGTGATCTCCACTCATGACATCACTCAAATCATTTACATACACTATCTGCTGCTCTRTCAAATGATTGTACAATTGATATGGATTATGTGAAGATTTCGTTGCAATACCATAACAGAAAAGAAACATTTTTAGTGTGGATTTCAACACATTCAGCTTCAGGAAATTAAGGAAATTTCAGTTGAAACATTGGCTGGAGAGACGAGGTGTGGCTTAGCTTAGTTTGTGGCATCAAGTGTGTGTATTTTTATTTATGTATTTTTGTCACCCTGGCCACTACTTTTGCATCTTTTTTTAACTTAATGTTTACAATTTATGTAAGTAGCAATAATTTCACCATATGTGTGACTGACTGCAGTAGAACTCTGCATGAGGCTAGCATGGATGCTACAAGTACAGCTAGCATTAGGCTACAGTAAAACATTATAAGTTTCACTGTTTTATTTATTTACTGCATTATAAGGTTATTATTAGGAACTGAAAGTGCAGGGATATGATCACGTTGGTCCTGTGTTGGTCTTTTACCTCCAATAAAATCTTTGGAGCAGACATTAAGTCAATGGTTGCACTTCTTTCCGGTCAAATCAAAAGCTTGTCCCATCGTTCAAATACCGCTGTTAACCTAAGTCTTAGCATGGAAAATATGATAAAGAAGCATATTTTCCATGTGGGGATGATGACTGTATCCTGAATTACTGTTACAAGTACCGTAGCACAATAGTTTGTGGTCCTCCCAGTGGAATTTGATGACGTTTTCCCAAATTGTTTTAAGTTTAAACACAGCTAGATCTTGCAATGTGTTTGAAAAACAATAGAGCCACTAACAGAGTCTGTATGCACACCAGTGTTGAGCAGACATAAATAGTGTTCTAAAAATAGCCTAATTGGAAACGGTCATTGCTGTCTACTGCAGGTAAGATATGAGCCATTGATCACTACTGCACTAAACTCCACCTAGAAAAAAATCATGATGCTGAAGGAAAAGAAATCCAAGTGGTAACAGTAGAAAGCATCCACTGTCAGTGACAGATTAAATTTGTGAAAGGACAGCACAAATGAGACCATCTGTAACCGAGAGGTGGAGCTGACTGCAGAGTCGGTGGTTTGTGTGAATGTTTAATGTAGCTTTTGTTTTGTCTCTACATGGAGGGTTGTATTCCAAAATGCTAAAATTGTTTGGCAAAAACACATTATTTGCATTAGGACATAGTTGGGTAGAGTGGAGTGGAGGAGGGATCTTTCATTTTTGGATGGAGTCCTCCTCCTGCTTTAATGTGTCATCTCACACTAGCTGTTTCCCTCCTCAGCAACAAAGTACACAGTGAGTGTCACAACGCGTCCGACCCCTTTCTGGACTGGTATTTATTTATTTATTTGTTTATTCATTTCCGAATTCCTTCTGTTTGATTTGACAACCATTCCTTGCTTTCTCTTGTGTTTTAGATTGGCCTCCTTTCTTTTTCCTTCTGTTCTCAATTTTCCTTTTTAAACTACATTCCAGGCTTCCTTTAGTTGTTGTTTGTGTTGGCTTACTTTTTACTTTTTCATTTAATTATTTATTCATTTTTTTGCCTGCTCCTTGCAGCACGGCTGTTGCTTTATTGTGGTTGACTGCTGGCTCTGAGAGACAATAGAGTTAACCCTCCTGCTGTCCGTGGGTCAAACTGACCCATGAGACCCGAGGCCTCATGTAGATAGCTCTTTAAATGACCTCAGTTGGGAGAAATAGAGTTTAATTCTGACCAGATTAAAGAGCRAAGAGCTAGGCTGAGTAATGTTRATCTTCAAATAAATCCAAATTAAAAYATGTTATAGATGTCTGTGCAAATCATGTTTAATTAACCTTTACATTGTTGTTAGTTGCGCTTAACCAAAAGTGCTATGAGCCAAAAGTGTAACCGCTAGGTGTCAATGCTGCACTTGAAAAAAAAAATAAAACAAATAATTTGATGTAAATAATTGTATAATATAAATCTGACAGCGATGTAAAGGTTTAAAAATAAATTTGACACAAACCTCAATGAAGTTTTTGACAATGATGTTGCTTCAAGAAGGAAGRAATCGACTTTGGTTTTGATCTCARTCAGTCTAGTTTCTAGCTTGTCAYTTTGGTCAAAATTTAACTCAATCTCTCTAAACTAYGTTTGCTCAAAAGGCTGTTTACAACAGGTAAGAAATTGTTTGTAACYTTTTCATAAAGCTCTATTTAAAAAGCTATGTACTATCTCTTTAAGTCCTACTGAGATCTTCCCTGTTCTGTAGGCCCACCCAAATGACCCTTAAATATCTGTGGGTCCCAGTGTGTCTCTATGTCCTGGCTATTTTACGTACTTACTTTTTTGCTGTTAGTTTTCATGTCATCATTCCAACATCTTTGGGTGTATATTTTCACAACAAGAGGTTTTAAAAAGGGTCTTAATGCTACCATATATATTTTTTCCTTGTACTTTTTGTTTTATCTGCAGTAAAGAGCAGCAGAAAAACCACACAAAAGGGGTCAATAAGTCGGTGTGGGAACAGCGCACCAAGGAGCTGAGGAGGCAGACTCTGGCATCCAGCCGGGAGGCACTCTACAACGAGCTGGACCCCGATGACCGCTGGAAGGCAAGGACAGGGAGGGAGGAGCACAACAATGTAAAGGACAAGGCAAAAAAAGCCCTTAGACTTGTGCTACCAGTGTACACAAGATGGCTGGAAATCCCTAAATTTGTCTCAAATATTCAGATGCAATGTTAAAACTTGCAACTTTATGACTAGTTAAAAGGTAAAAACCAATTGCGGGCATTTAGATCCTTTAGTCCTCTTCATTCTGTTCTTGTTTTTTTTTCTTCTCATAGGTCAACTTTTCACGTCACATTCGCCCAGACATGAAAACCCACCTGGATCGGCCCTTAGTCGTCGACCCCCGTGAGAACCGAAACAACAACACCAATAAGAACACTGCCAACAATTCAGACCTCTGTCTCACCCAGAACCATTCTGTTGACGAACTTCACAAACAAACACAGCTCAAACAACAGAGCGGGGGTGGCGGAGGAGGTTCGAGCCCACCCAGGCCTCCGCTTGATCGAGGGGAGTCCACAGAAAGTAGGCGGAGCCGCAGAGGTGAGCACCACCACAAGTCGCATGTCCGACTGGACGCTACGGTRATCCCTGGACCTGGCTCGGAGGAGAGGCCAACCAGGCGCCATCACCACACCCGGAGCGGCAGTCAAGGGGGTGGGCAGTCGAAGCACAGGAAGCCCAGGTCACACAGAAAAAGTGCAGAAGCTGGGGAAGATGGTGGGGAAGGAGGAGGGGCTGGAAAATCAGGGAGAAATAGGAGTAAAGGGATGGAGGGAGGTGGAGAAGGAGGAGAACAGGAGGGAGCTGGCGACAGCAGTGAGAGGAAGCCAAGAAGAAGTCGACACGGCAATCAAGATGGAGAAGGGAGGAGAATGTGCCAGCACAGACGAAAGTAGGTCTTTCCACTCTAATGTACTTTATTTATTTTTTAATGTTCTTGTCTTACCTCACAAATCAATTCTTTTTAACTCTTTCAAGGGAATGCAGTGTCCCAAACCTCTCCACCACACGACCCATCCAGAAGAGCCTCTCCAGACAGAATAGCCAGTACAGTGAGGATATGGATAACCTTATGAATACCAAACTTGTCTCCGGGTCTTCTCCACCCAATGAAGGTCACAAAAATCCACTTGCCAATCGTGCTGTTGTGCCTGGCTTTGGCTCTGCCCTGCATCTTGCTAAAAGTGGCACTCATGGAAGTTTGGTCACATTAGGTAGCTATGGGAACATTGTACATCAACGTGCGCACAGTGTGATCAGGCTGCCCCACCCTGACTACACAGCTTTGGATATGCCAATATTCCCATCTATTAATGCCATTCTGCAAGGTGAGACCAAAAACCAAAGCGTGTTTTATTTCTTATATTATCTGCCTCTTCTTAAATAACTAACAAGAAGCCAATTTTACTGTGTCACCCTCTTCATTTTCTCTGTTTGATCCAGTTAATAAAAATGCAAACACTGAGCCTCTTCCAGCAAAGGAGGATAAAGATGATGATGATGATAAAGGTGGTGAAGGAGGTCCCCGACCCATGCCTCCATATAGCTCCATGTTCATCCTGTCCACCACTAACCCGTAAGAGATACATGAACACACATTGAGATAAATAMTGTGTAACCAGGGTACGGCGTTTACATCATTTGTCTTCTGCTGAGTTCATCAAGTAATTTGCACACAATAAAAGTTTCATCCAAACTCAAAGTTAACAGGTATTTATGCTACACTCGGGGCTGCAAGGCTGAGATAAATGGTGGATAAACATTGCTCTACRTCAGCATAACGTAGGCCCATAACAGTAATGGTGATGAGCTGATATTATTAATCCTAAGAGACTGAGCTCTAATTACACCAAAAAGAGACCCTGTGTTACTCTTCCARCATTTCACATACACCAAACAGAATCAAATTGTGCCACCCCAGTGTGTACTTTGAAATAGCCCTTTGGTTTTGCAGAATTGGTCCACATTCTGCACAACAATATGAGGCTGCCGTCTCAAAGGCCCAACATCTTCCTTTCAGACTCCATCTTTGAACCATAAAAATCAAAGCATCAAGAAAAACAACTCTACTGTAGGTTTCCAGTTGACTTTGAACAGCAATARTTTCGATTAGACAACCTAAGGGGTGGAGTTAAATGTGACACTAACAATATGGAGTGTTAATGAGGCCTATGCAGTAAGATATGCAGCTTGTAACCTTTATAGCATTAAAAAATTTGGGTGTTGTTTTGGAATACCTACCTTTTAATTGGAGGACTTGTTTAATTTTTGATTACAGTTTAAATGCTGCTTTGTAGAACCTGCAATCCAGATACCTGAAACATGAATGTGTTGCACAAATGCAACATTCTATGAAAACTCAATGAAAAAGTAGAACCTAAACCTGTCAGTGCTGGTGATTATACCTGCTAAGTGGATAAATGTTGTACATTTCACTAATGCTAAAAGTTCTTGTGTGCTTCTAGATTTCGACGGGCATGTCACTACGTTTGCACTCTACGTTATTTTGAGATGTGCATCTTGCTTGTCATTGCCATGAGCAGTATCGCCTTGGCTGCTGAAGATCCTGTCTGGCCTGATTCCCCTCGAAACAATGTAAGAATGTAAACTTAACMTCTACTATCGCTTCCATCAAGCATGAAATATTGTAATTATACAATGCATATTTTTTGAATGTCTAATACGTTTGTTGTGGTCTAATGAGTCCAGAGTCCAGTTTGTTGTCATTTTGAGTTTCAGTGGATAATTTTGGGATGGTTATGTTTAGTGGTGTCTGTACCAATACAAGCATTTTTACAAGTACTTGTACTCATACAAAGTGCCCCAATACGCCATTCAGAGTGTTACAGTTTACATTTCAAGTGAAATGTTGTCATTTCTATGTTTAAAACGATTATACAAGTTGAAAGAAAAAAAACATGTTTTGTAAAAGTACATTGCCTGGCTGAAAAAAAAAGGTTACCACATGGATTTAACTACGCAAATAGATACGAGCCTCCTATTAGGTAATTACTGAATGAGGAATTATCTTTCAGCTGGCAACAAGTTATTTAACCCCAACAGGTGCAAWYTGTTGTTTCTCATTTCTTAAACAACCATGTGGAAAGACACAACCTGTGGTTGTGAAAAAGATGTCAGAGAAGGGTCAAATCATTGACTAACTGGAAAAATAGYCTTCAGTTTMCTAGAGAGCKTAAATATTGGACTCTGGAGCAGTGGAAGAAGGTCATGTGGTCTAATGAGTCCAGATTTACCCTGTTCCAGAGTGATGAGCGCATCACGTTAAGAAGAGAGGCAGGTGAAGTGATGCACCCATCATGCCCAATGTCTACTGTACAAGCCTGTAGAGGCAGTACTATGATGTGGAGTTGCTGCAGTTGGTCAGGTCTAGGTTCAGCAACAGTATGTGCTCAAAGAATGAGGTCAGCTGACTACTTGAATATACTGAATGACCAGGTTATTCCATCAATGATATTTTTCTTTCCTTGATGGGACGGGCATATTCCAAAATTCATTCATATTCATTGGGCTGGAATTGTGAAAGAGTGGTTCAGGGAGCATGAGATCATTTTAACACATGGATTGGCCACCACAGAGTCCAGARRTTAACCCCACTGAGAATCTTTTGGATGCRCTGGAGAAGGCTTTGTGCAGCAGTCAGACTACCATTATCAATGATCAAAATCTTGGTGAAAGATTAATGCAACTCTGGATGAAAATAAGTCTTGTGACATTGCAGAAGCTTATCAAAACAATGCCACAGCGAATGCGTGCCGAAATCAAAGCTAAAGGCAGTCCAATGAAATATTATAGTGTGACCTTTTTTGTTTTTTGGATGCAACATTTTTTGGCCAGACAGTGTATACACAGTATACTATCATGTTGTATATTTGATTTGCCACAGTCAGAAGGGATGTAGGCCTTTAAGGAAGGAGATCCACATTGCGCTAAATAAAAATCATGTTTTTAAAAGTCATTCTGCAATGTTTAAGTTCTAAGGGTGTATTTACACCAGCCCTGTTTAGTCCACTTTAATCAAACTCTAGTTCATTTGTCTAGAAAGTCTGGTTCATTTGGAGAGGTGTGAATGTGTAATCAAACTCTGATGCAGACTAAAAACAGCAAACTCTAGTCTGCCTGAAAACCTAGGTCTTGGTTRGATTGAAGTGAACTCTGGTGCAGTTCAATTGAATGTGTGAGCGCCAAGCGGACCAGAGACCATTCCAAAAGCAGGAAGCAGACTATGACACATGGTATTCTTAGTATTAACAGTAATAAAGTTACTCATATACTGTAAATTGCTCAATGTCTGTATAAGTTGGACATCACTGCTGTGAAGTMGGACATGCTACTTCTTGGTGAACGCCACCTCATACAGAGCCATCTTAGCCACCTTCTGTAAGGAAACATCATTGTCTGCGGTTCCGCCTCATCTTCTGCCCATGCTGAGCCTAATGTTGAAAAGTGTTTGTTTGGCACATTTGCCAAAAACAAAAAATAAATCATAAAGCCACTAAAATRTGACGTCACTCCATATTTGTTTACATGTTGTGAAGAAGGAAGATGCGTTCCATGTCTTCTTCAGAAGTTTTCATGTCGATTCCTCCAGTGGATTTTGGTGCAGTGCCATCAGGGGCGGTCCTAGRCTGTTTGGTGCCCTGGGCAAACAACTCCTCTGGCCACCACAGGCGAGGGAGGGAACAGGTTGTGTACAGGGTTTAGTCCATATGAAAAAGTGCTGTGTGAATGTGAACCGCACAAATTGAAAATGTCAACAAATCTTGCAATTTTGGTTCCCCAATAGAACCGAGTCTACTGGACTATTAAGTGTGAATACAACCTAACTCAATAAGTACTTGGCATTGGTGCTTGGTTTTAAGCAAATACCCAAACTAAAGTACTCATACTCATGCTCAGTTTGAGAAAAACTAGTATAGGGCCACCCCTTATTATATTTTCATGTGTCTAACATTCTTCAAATATTTGGTTGGTTTGTTTCATTATTTCATGTAGGAATGAGACATAATCAAAGCTTCTTTTTGCTGGAAGTTGCGTCAAATCATTTTTTTACTTTTTGTGCAGGTACTTCGCTATTTTGACTACGTCTTCACAGGAGTGTTCACATTTGAAATGCTGATAAAGGTGAGATCAAAATATGAAATTGACAATCAACATTTCTGAGATGTCCTCAGGTCTAAAACTTCCTAATTGTCTGATTTCTGCCTCTGTTCCAGATGGTGGATCTTGGGTTGGTCTTGCACCAGGGTTCTTATTTCCGGGACTTGTGGAACATCCTTGACTTTATAGTGGTTAGTGGTGCTCTGGTGGCCTTTGCCTTCACGTAAGTGTCCCTCCTTTCCCTATCATGCCCTTGCACCTTCACCTCTTCCAGCTTTACTGTTGGAGTCTTGCCTCCACTGTTCCTCTTTACTCACAAATGGTTTATTTTTGGTCTTTCCCTTCCTTCCTGCAAGTTCTTCTTTTTTTCTTCCTATTCCATTACTCGGCTCATTCTAACAATTCACTATTTTCTTGTCACCCATCTCCTTGTTATTTAAGTATTTGTATCTGATGTTGCTGAACAAATAGCAAGTCCTATTCATTTGGCCATTTTTATTTTTTTTTCACATCCATTTTTTTGGTCATGTAGTCCTTCACTTTTTGAATCCTCCGTTAAAGTCCGCCCCCATCAGCTTTATACCCCTGCAAATAAAAAAATAGTGCCCCAGCTTCCTCCTCCTATCTACCTACTCTCCCCCCATGTGAGAGGTGAGGACCACCCTGTGCACCTGTAACCCTTTAGTGCCCAGGGCGTTCTAGAGTTAAAGGGCCCAATGCAAAGCCAGGCCAGGTCATGCTGAACTTGGTTCCAAAAATCTTCACACCCTTCTTCCTCAACAAAGCAGGTACTTTAAGCTCTGGTTAATCTGCATGAGTGTGAGGATAAGAAATAATATGTGAGTAAAGGTAGACACTGTATTCTTTTATACKAGGTAAAAAAAAWAAAGAAAATAATGAGAATGAACCAAARGAAAGATGTTAAACATTTTTTTTGCTACTCAGGATGTTGGCTGTTCCATTCATTTACAATACAATATTTACTGTCTCCCCACTTGAACACCTCTGAGATCAAATGCAAATGTAGTTTTAAYTTACTGTTGTGAGACTTTCTATACRATTTATGCATGGATCACTAAATTATGGAAATGTTAAACTAAGTTTTTTTTTGTTTTGTTTTGTTTTTAGCTTACTTTGAGTAAAAAATATATTTTTACAAACAAATGATTGATTGATTTAAATTGAAACAAGAAAAGATCGAAAGAAATCAGGCCTGGCTCAGCATAATTTCTGTTTTACAGCATARTCTTCAGAACATAGAAACAAACAGAAATCCAACATCACATCACAGTATTATACACTATGGATGCACAGACATACAAGCATACCAAATTACAAATGGCAACCTTTGCAAAGTAGACCCCTAAACATAATTAKAAAAAAYGMMMRCKYSKAAA